TGCTAGTAACAGCTAAGATACTGCGCAGGACCCTCAAGCTCCCAGGCCCGAGCTTGAAGGAAGGAATAAGACCGCCCCAAAGTGGGGGGCAAGTGGAGAATTTTTTTTTCATACATACATATACAGTATATATAACTCATTACCACTACAATAAAGTTTAGTTTGGAGAAAAAACAAAAAAACAGAAATGACATTCCTCACTTCTGATGAGCCTACTCTCTTTCCATGGGTTTACAGGTCTGAGTGAGGTCCATAAGCAATAATTAATAAATGAGTTATGGACTATTTGATTATTAACAGTGTTTTAGATTTTTAAAAAATATAAAGTATTTTCAGTTCAGTGTGGCTTTACTCATCAGGGTAGTGTGAAATAGGTAAATACAAAATTACAGCTCACAATTCCCTGCTTTTATTTCTAGAATGCAACAAAAGCCATCAAGAGTGAGCCCAACATTAAGGTGCCAGTTGAGGAACCGCCATCCACCCACTCCGAACCTGAAGAGCCTGTTTCACCAGCACATGTCCCTTCACCCAGCAGAGAGAAAGCCAGGAAGAAAGCTTCAAAACCTCCCAAGTCTCCCAAACCTCCAAAGATGCCCAAGGCCCCCAAGCCTCCGAAGGTGCCAAAGGTCAAGGAAGGAGGAAAGAAGAAATCGAAGAAAGTGAAAGAGTCATCGCCGCCTCCTAAACCCTCCAGCTTTGCAGCTCTCGAGTCCCATGCGAAGGACATCTTGAGTAAAATGGACCAACCAAAAAAGACAAAGGTGAGTGAATGTTTCTGTTGACAAAAGGAAAACTGTTATTTAGTGGAATGACTACTTCTACCCCTATGTCCCCACATCTATCCTTTCTATTAATAATTGTGTCTTTCTTTCCATTTTTCAGGCTGTGAAGAATGTCCTGAGTATGTCAGAAAAGGAAATATCAAAGCAGAACAACATGGAGAAGTTTGAAATCAGAGAGCAGAATAAAAACAAGACTGAAGCTAAATGGAAGTATAAGGTAAGAGCATTTCAGCTGCCAAGTTTTGTAACGATTTAAAACTCATGGCTGCGTGTTACAGGCCAAAGAAAAATCAAACCAAACTGAAGGTTTGGTGTCTAAAAAAGAAAGCTCAAGCACTGAACAGAAAAATTATCATCCAAAAGTGATTTGCACACTTCAATTCAAAGCAGTCAGAAAAAAATAATAATGTGGCCGAAGATGCACATTTTAGACTTAAAAGCATCCACCCTCTCAGGCATTACCAAATGGAATTACACCACTTCCATATCCACCGTGTTACATCTGATCACATGAGCTCTGATCATTCAAAAAATGCTGTATCATTATTGCAGAACAACAACTGGGAAGCCTTTACATAGCAAAAGTGTCATTTTGTTGAACGGAAGACATTAGAGGTCTTGGTTTCATGTACAATTCATTGCCAAAGTGCTGTTGAATGTTTGCAGCCCTTCCAAGGATCTCCATCCAGCTTCTCCTTCACATCGAGCCAAGCATTACAGATGGAGTAGAGAGACCCTGTTAGATGTTTACCAAGGTCACTGAAGATCACATCTTCACTCATGAATAGGTTCAGATTTGTGTAAATGTTCATGGTTCCTCCGTGTACAGTGTCCAGGGCAACCAGGCCTTAACTGCAGGTTGGAGATGATTTAAATAGTGAATGAGATCATGTGAGATTTCAGTTTTAGGTTGCACCGTGTTGTTACATTCCTTTAATTTAGCAGACAAAATGGTCGAGAAGTGAATATTTGAAAATAAAATTCTTGGATTTCAGTTAATGACACTGCTCAGTAGTGATTTTAATGGCAGCTGTTTTTCATTCCTCTCACTGGTTCTGAAAAACTCACAAGTGAATATGATCTATCATCATGATGATTCAGTCTTTGTAACAGTAATGTTCTTTATTTTCATCAAATAACTTGTAGTTTTCTACAGGACAGATTTTTTGTGTGCTAAAAACAATTCTAAATAATATAAATATACATTTTTTTCAAAAATGTAATTTTTGATTTGCTTAATCTACACACTGTCACATCTCATAACAGTATTTTGCCTTATTTCTAGTCTTTTTTTTAATTGATCAAATTATAAAGCTGCTATTAGTTTAATTTTCATGGTTGACAAAATGAAGTGAAGAAAGCCCAGCAGTGGCTATACTTCATCAGGTGGCTCAGAAAAGCTGCGTTGAACCGTCGCCCTCTCACCCAGGCTTATAGAGGACTGGTAGAGAGCATCCTCAGTACTGCATCACAGCTCACTCCCTGCTCAGACACAAAAACTGCACCTACAGCCTCAGGCACAGCAGGGCGGACAGTATCATCACACACAGAACAAAACTTTACAACAGCTTTTTCCCTGCCGCAGTAAGACTGATGGCAAATAAATGTGAGAAATGTGAGAATATATGTGCAGTAACCCCTCACTACCTCACCAAGCATAATGACATATCCAACTCCACCATGTGATTTACTAAGTACGATGTTTGAAGTTCACTGGGGAAAATACCATTAACCTATTTTTGTGTGTTGTGTTTTAATGCTTTGTTGCCTTTATGTAACTTTTTATTTTAAGACTAAGTGTTCTTTCTGGCTTTTGACTCCTTACCTGACTCCATGCACAAGAATTCCTATACTGTATGCCTAGACTGTCTGTTTATACATAAATGGCAAATAAAAATCTTGACTTGACTTGAAAATGTAATAAATTTTTAGACACTTAAAGACAGAATTTTACTATTCAGCTAGATTGTATTGTTATGAAGGTCACATTGAAGCCGTGTTGTAAAATCTTTATGCTTATTAGAACCTGAAGGATTTTGGATTATTGGATTTTAAGGTAATTACCAATATCAATATTTGAGACTTTATAAATGCTATTAAATAGTTGTGACCCAGATATGTACTGAGCAAGACATGTAAAAGTAACAAAATTTAAAACTACAGTGATAGGACAGTACATTTCAAAAAGCTGGTATTCTGGTATTCATAATTAAAACTAATTTAAAAAACTATACATGAAAAATGAACCTATATATCTTGTAAGAAAAACATCTAAACTGTAAAATCTATAAACTTTGTAAACCAAACTATCAAAAACAAACCAAGCCGCAATAATATATTTACAGTATTTTACTTTTATTTTTTTGGCCACTTTAGGGCAGCAGAAATGAGCTCTAAACTGAATGCTGATACATTAATACCTTATAAATGGAAAGCGTGGAGGAGTTAGAGCTAAGCTAAAGCTAACACCACGTCGGCTCACTCTACCCAGCATTTTCCTTGCCAATGTGCGATCATTGGTGAACAACATAGACGAGATACGGCTTTGCATCACCAACAGTAAGAGACTTACAGTATGGACTGTAATGTTTTGATTTTCGCGGAAACCTGGCTAAACAGCAGCATACCCGACAGTGCTATTGAGGTAGCTGGATGCTACACATTCCGGGCAGATAGAACAGATGGCTCCAGTAAGACCAGAGGCGGAGGATTGTGCATTTATGTTAACAAAGCTTGGTGTACGAACTCTGTCATCACTGAGAGCCACTGCTCAGCTAACCTGGAATTTCTTATGGTTAAGTGTAGACCTTTCTATCTGCCCAGGGATTTCAGTTCCACTATAATAATAGCAACCTATACAGCTCCGGACTCTAATGCCAAGCTTACTATGGAAGAACTTCATGCGGCCAAACAACAGACTGCACATCCAGAGGCTGCATTTATTGTTGTAGGTGATTTTAATCACTTCAACCTAAAGTCAGTGCTCCCTAAATTCCACCAGCATGTTTCCTGCCACACTAGAGGAAATAAAACTCTGGACCATGTTTACACAAACATGGCTGCTGCATACAAGGCGACCCCCCGCCCCCACTTGGGACAGTCACCTTTCTTTGTTTCTCATTCCCAAGTACTCACCACTCATCTGCTGTGTGAAGCCATCAATGAGGATCATCAAAGTAAAACTCTGTGCCATGTTTACACAACCATGGCTGCTGCATACAAGGCGGCCCCTCTCCCCTACTTGGGACAGTCAGATCACCTTCCTTTGTTCCTCCACATTCCCAAGTACTCACCACTCATCTGCCATGTGAAGCCATCAACAAGGAGCATCAAAGTGTGGCCAGAGGGGACAAACTCTGTACTACAGGACAAGTTTCACCACACATACTGGAGTATGTTTGCCTCCTGGGCTACCTGTGACTCTCACTGACACCTCTACCCTACACTTCCTCTGTGCTGGACTTTATTAACATTACCACTGACGGTGTCACAACCCGGAAACAGATCACCACATACCCAAATCAGAAGCCGTGGGGTGTGGCGCCTGCTGAAGGCACACAACTCTGCCTTCAGGTCTGGTGATGCACAGGCCTATAGCTTATCCAAGGCCAACCTGAAGAGGGCCATCAAGAAGGTCAAGCACCATTACAAGCTAAAGGTCGAGGAACACTTCACAAACTCTGACCCCCGATGTATGTGGAAGGGCATCCAGGTCATCAGTGACTATAAGCCCGGCAACTCCACCCAACAACCACAGATGTCTCCTTTCTCAATGAGCTAAATGACTTTTATGCCCACCGTCTTCATTGTTTATAAGCTGTATATATTTTTATGTTTATATACTGACCCTCCACAGACCACCAGCCACTCACGCTCACCTCCACTGACGTGTATGCTGCTTTGAGCCGGATCAACGTACACAAGGCTGCTGGCCCTGATGAAATTCCTGGACATGTGCTCAGGGCACGTGCAGGACAGCGTGCTGGCGTCTTTACGGACATGTTTAACCTGTCCCTTGCCCAAGCAGTTGTGCCGACATGTTTCAAAACCACCTCCATTGTGCCAGTGCTGAAACATTCCACCCCGACGTGCCTAAATGATTACTGCCCTGTGGCACTCACACCCATTGTCATGAAGTGCTTCAAGTGCCTGGTCCCAGCACGCCTGATGACCTGTCTCCCACCCACACTGGACCCCCACCAATTTTCCTGCCGAAGGAATAGGAGCACAGAGGATGCAGTCTCAGTAGCGCTGCACTCTGTTCTCAGACACCTGGATGATAGCAACACTTATGCAAGAATGCTGTTCCTGGACTTTAGCTCAGTGTTTAACACGGTCATCCTCTGATGCCCAGGTCACCACCAAACTTGGTGACCTGGGCATCAGCACATCCCTTTGCAACTGGATTCTGGACTTTCTGATTAAACTCTGGACCCCAGAGACTGAAGGCACCCTGCAGGACTGTTTTGCCCAGACAGACTGAGATGTGTTTAAAGCTGCAGCCACCTCAGAGGACTTTTCTGTCAGCGTACAGGATTATGCTGAGTATGTGACCAGATACATTAGTACCTGTATTGACAACATTGTGCCCACCATACAAGTCAGGAGGTTTCCCAACCAGAAGCCCTGGACAGGTATGCCACATGCTTGCATGCTCGCTCTCATGCATTCAGATCAGGCGATGAGATGGAGTACAAAGCTGCAAAGTACAGACTGAGAGAAGCCATCACAGCGGCCAAGAGGCAGTACAGAGAGAAGCTGAATGGCTTCTATTCTACTGCTGATTCCGGACAGCTGTGGCAAGGCCTGCAGCACATCACAGACTACAGGACCACCACCAGCATCATCAGCTCCACTGACAGCTTGCTGGATGACCTCAACACCTTCTACA